CCATTCCTACAGTCATTCAGTCCCAAAGAAACACACAGAGGTCTACGTCAATTATAAACTGGTTGGCTCATTATCTCAGGCTCTTCTTATTAAGTAATTCTTTATATATATATATTTATTTATTTATTATGTATACAATATTCTATCTGTGTGTATCCCTGCAGGGCACCAGACCTCATTACAGATGGTTGTGAGCCACCATGTGGTTGCTGGGAATTGAACTCAGGACCTTTGGAAGAGCAGGCAATGCTCTTAACCACTGAGCCATCTCTCCAGCCCCTTAAGTAATTCTTATAACATATATTAGCCCATAATTCTTGCCTGTCTTAGCAAACTGGCTTGGTATTTTTTTCGGTGAGGCAGTAACTTCTTGATTTCTCGGTGCCTGGGTCATGACTGCTGACTGACTTTCCTCTTCCCAGAATTCTTGTTTCCCTGCCTCTACTTTTTGCCTGGTTGCCCCGCCTATACTTTCTGCCTGGCTACTGGCCAATCAGCGTTTTATTAAAAATAATATAAGTGACAGAATAAAACATCATTGTGCCACAACATTTCTCTGTTTAGTTTCTATCTGGATGACCCTTGCTGCGATTTGTTAATAAGATATTGATACAGTCCCCTAATGTTGATTGTTCCAAGCACAATACCCATAAGTTACTAGGCTCATTGTTCAGAGAGAATTGTGTGTTAGATATAAGTATTATATCTCTGGAGAGAAAGGTACCCTGACTGTTGGAAAGTTATGTTATACCTGCACGTGTTACAACTCTGAAGGGAAGATATCCGAGATATCTACAACTTTGATGAGTAAGCTATCCTGACTTGTTGGGAATTAAGGCAATGCCTGAAGCTGGATTCGGGCGGGGGATAGTCTCCTTGCCAGATGTTCCAATTCTACACCTCTCCAAGAGAGAGCCATTACAGCTGAGCTCTGCTCCACACCCCGAAGGAAGTTTCCCAGTAGAGATGTCCATTGCTTCTGTGCTTCACCCTACTGGGGAGTTTTCCCAGGAGAGATGTCGGGTTCTTCTCATCTATGGCTCCAGTTGTTATTTCCTTTGCTTCACTCTGCTAAAGGGGTAACCCACACACACTAGTAGCAGTCTGCACTGGCTCCTGCAAAAAGTTGTTACTTCTGCACCACCCCCCTAGGGAGTTTCTCAGCAGAGGTGTCTGTTGCTTCTCTTCACTACTCCCCTATTGAGTTTCTCAGGAGAGACTCTGCTCCACTCAGGCGAGAAAGATTTTCACCCCACACTCTTTCAAGGGATTTATTTTGGAGGACAGAATCCTGGAGACTGGCTGGTTATGCCAGGGTAGACAAGGACAACTGCCAACTGATCAAGCACTGGGCTTATATAGGGCTTCCTAGGGGTGGAGTTTTTCCACAGAGTACATTTTAAGGATGGGAATTGGTTGGAATTGAAAAATCTTGAGCTCAGATTGGCTAGATTTAGTGGTCAGGGATTGGTTGCATTTTTGTTCAGGGACTTGTTGGTTTGATGTTCAGTAGATCAGGGACAGATATGGATCTTGTTTCAGGGACAAACTGTGTTTCTTTCACTGGTCCTTTTACCTTTTGTCTCTAAATTCAGACTGCGGTTTAGATGTCAAGGGTGCAAAGTTTTCCCAATGTTATTTCATTTTTGTCTGGGTACATAGTACTAATCTTGTTGTCAATTTCAACTCCTCATTTTTTTAAATATTTATTTATTATGTATACAGTATTCTGTCTGTGTGTATGTCTGCAGGCCAGAAGAGAGCAACAGACCTCTCCACAGATGGCTCATTTTGTTTAGAAATTTAGCTTGCTCACATTCTGTCTCTCTATCAAAATACTCCAGTTTTTGTATTCATGTTTATTTCAAATTCTCTGATAAAACAGGATGAAGTCATGTTCTTGATGATAATACCACAGTAATAACCCTTTCTCTACTTACTGACAGAGTCTTTTCCCAAGGAACTTTCCCTATCAATGTCTGTTGTGTAGACTTTTTCATTTCTGACTTTGGATCATCTACTAAATAACTTATTTATCTTTGGTTCAGTGTTTTTAGTTGTTTTTCTTCAGAGTCCATTAAAGGTGATTATGAGCACCATGTGCTTGCTGCGAATTGAACTTGATCTCTAGAAGAGCAGTCAGTGCTGTTAACCATTGAGCCATTCAGAAGTGTGAAGCTGCTAGTGAGTGACACACTAATAAATAGTAAATGAGACAGTGGGTCATCAAGTAATCAAGATGGCATCTCATGGACATTCTTCAATAAATCCTATTGATATAATAATTTAGAGGTTTCTTCAGAAACATACATGCAAGATGATTGTGTATCCTGTCTGTCTGTCAGTGAAAATAAATTAATTAGGAAAAAAATCCTAATTAATATATGTATTCATAGGAGCCAGTAAACTTTGAAGATGTGATAGTGAAATTCACCTCAGAAGAGTGGGCTGTGTTGGATTCTAGTCAGAAGAAGCTCTACAGAGATGTGATGGAGGAAATATTTTTGAACCTGATCTCCATAGGTAAAAAGTACTACATGCTCCCATTCCTTATTCAGTCAGTGAACAATTGTGTCCTGCTTATGAGTGTCATGTTGGTATTGAATTCTTGAAGTGAAAATGTGGTGAATTTAGTGTGCATACTCCTATCACAAGAACTATGTTGCAATAATTTTTATGTTGAATATGAATGTGTCATAATGTATTCTCTGGATTTTATTGTAGAAAAAACACTAGAAGAAAATATTGAAGAAGACTCTAAAGATATCAGCAGGAATATGGGGTAATTTATATTTAGTAAAAAATGATTTCTATTATACTTTTGCAACTCAAGGGATGAATGTGAACATGCCAAGTGCTCCAAATGTACCTGAGTGAAAACTGAGTCACACAAATTCCTGTAATGCAGCATTGTATTGTGACATTCGCTATTTGTGTATTTTTGTGTGTAATCTATTAATATCACAAATATGTCACGTGAGATTGAGCCTGGAAAAAGGTTTTCTAGTGGATTATTACACAAAAGATCCCTTCATAGGCAAATGGTTTTACTTCATGTTTATACTTAGAGGCTTTGAGCTTTAGTACTGTGTTTTGTTTGCTTCCTTTTGCTGTGACTTAAAAAAAGAAGAAAAGAGTGGGGTGGAAGACAGTTTTATGCTTTCTTGTAAGTACCATGATAAGGGGAAGAGCCAGGGTAGGAACTCAAGCATGAAAAGAATCCGGAAACAGGCAGTAAAGTAGAAGTGATGCAGAAATCCTATTTACTGGAGTGATCTTCATCTGTCAGTCAGCTACCTGCCTTGTTCAAGCTTGGCCCACATCTCTAGGGGGATACCACCCATAGTGAACTTGATCAATCCACCTCATACAGTGATCAAGACAAAGCTACCAGAGTCATGTCTAAATGTCTGTCTGACAAAGCCATTTTGTGCTGTTTGGTTCCTTCCTCCCAAATGTGGGTTCTATTTGTGTCAAGTAGATCAAAACTAACTAGCACATACATTTCATACGAAGAGCCTGATCTCCTAACCGTTGGCATATATGAAAATGCTCCCACAGATTTAGTTTCCAGGCCAGTCTGATTGAGGGATTTTCTCAATTGAAGGACCCTATTCTATGACCATAGTGGGTCTAGTTGATAACTAACTAACCCACACTGGGTGAGTATTTAGAATGCTGACATGCCAGAGAGGTTCACCACTTCGTATGCTTGTTATTTTTGTCTATAAACACCAGGACTTTTTTTTTTCCCTGTTCACTCCTTTCATTTCTCTTAATTATTTTATATATCTTTCTATCTGACTTATATTTTTGTACAACACCTTTGCCAAAAACATTTGTGGAAGACAGAAAATGCAAGCCATCCTTCATATCAAGTGTATCAGAGTTTGTGAGCTCTTCACATGAATACTTGTCATTAAATCTGGTTTGCTTAAAAATTGAGAATTGTTCTTAACGTCCAAGCCTGTGATACAGCTTCTTCATAATTCTTAGAGAAGTAAAGTCAGTACTCTACTTCTTTACACATGGCAGGGTCTTTCCATGTCATACATATTGCCCTTGACATTGATACCATTATTCTCTTCCCTCTGAGATAGTATAGTTGTGTTCCACACAGGCCAGCCTCCAATATTTCTCTTGGCTACAGTGTTGGTTTTTTTTTTTTTTTTTTTTTCAGAATTCAGGGGATTGAGAAACACCATAGATATAAATATCATACTGAGTGTGATAAAAACCAGCAACCTATTCCAGACAGTATGGTCGATAAAGAAGTGCCTTCCAGAGTGAGAGCTCATGAGACTCCATTACATGTAAGAAACATTATTGGTCATTTATCCTTACCTGAATATCTCAGACAAAAAACTAGAGGAAAACTACAACTGTATAAGGGAGCTGTGGCAAAAGCTTTTACACATCAGAAACATTGGAAAGATACCAGTTACTATGAATTACTTCAGGTACGTGAAACTTCTACTAAAGAGAAACACTGTAAAATTCAACTATATAATGAAGCCTGTAGGAGTCTCTGTTTTGATCAGCCTCGGGAGAGAAGTAATACTGAAAATAAACCCAATGAGAATGTCTTAATGAGATGTACATCTGGCCAGAATGATGAAGGAACCCATAAAGAAGTGAAACAATTTGTATGTAATCTCAGTGAAGAATCCTTCATTGATTCCAGTGACCTTACCAACCATGAAAAAAGTAATATTGACGAGGAAAGGTACAGTTGTAGGGAACGTAGCAAAACATTTAAATATGCAACATGTTTTGAGAAACATAAAGTAACTCACAAAGGAGAGAAGCCTTATGCTTCTGTACACTTTGGAAAAACCCAATTCAGCGCCCGCCCTGGTGTGAGTGTAAACTCACCGCGCCAGGGTGGGCAGCCGGCTAGCGGGGTTAGCGGCTCTGTGCGGGGCAAGTGGCTGGGGGACCAAAGTCCCCCCATCTTCGGCAGGTGCTTCCAAGCAGTGGAAGGCGGACAAGCGGGAGCCATGCAGTCAGAATCTGGGATCGTGGCGGATTTCGAAGTCGGGCAGGAGTTTCACGAAGAACCCAAAACCTATTATGAACTCAAAAGTCAAACTCTGAAGAGCAGTTCGGCAGAGCATCCTGGGGCCTCCAAGCCTCTGTTAAGCTCCTCCAGTATGACATCACGCATCTTGCTATGCCAGCAACTCATGCGTGAGCAGATGCAGGAGCAGGAGCGCAGAGAACAGCAGCAGAAGCTGCAAGCAGCCCGGTTCATGCGACAGAGAGTGCCTGTGAGCCAGACACCAGCCATAAACGTCAGCGTGCCTACCACCCTTCCCTCTGCCACCCAGGTGCTGATGGAAGTCCTCAAGGTGCAGACCCACTTGGAAAACCCCACCAAGTACCACATACAGCAAGCCCAGAGGCACCAGGTAAAGCAGTACCTTTCTACCACTTTAGCAAATAAACATGCCAGCCAAGTCCTGAGCTCACCATGTCCAAACCAGCCTGGCGACCACGCCATGCCACCAGTGCCGGGGAGCAGCGCACCCAACAGCCCCATGGCTATGCTCACTCTTAACTCCAACTGTGAAAAAGAGGCATTTTATAAGTTTGAAGAGCAGAGCAGGGCAGAGAGTGAGTGCCCAGGTATGAACACGCACTCTCAAGCGTCGTGCATGCAGATGGATGATGTGATCGATGACATCATCAGCCTGGAATCAAGTTATAATGAAGAAATCTTGGGCTTGATGGATCCTGCCTTGCAAATGGCAAATACGTTACCTGCTTCCGGAAACTTGATCGACCTATACAGCAACCAGGGCCTGCCACCCCCAGGCCTCACCATCAGCAACTCTTGCCCAGCCAACCTTCCTAACATAAAAAGGGAGCTCACAGAGTCTGAAGCAAGAGCATTGGCCAAAGAGAGACAAAAAAGGGACAATCACAACTTGATTGAACGAAGAAGAAGATTTAACATAAGTGACCGCATTAAAGAACTAGGTACTTTGATTCCCAAGTCAAATGATCCGGACATGCGGTGGAACAAGGGAACCATTCTAAAGGCCTCCGTGGACTACATCCGAAAGTTGCAGCGAGAGCAGCAACGTGCCAAGGACCTTGAGAACCGGCAGAAGAAGCTGGAACATGCTAACCGGCATCTGCTGCTCCGAGTCCAGGAGCTTGAGATGCAGGCTAGAGCGCACGGACTTTCCCTTATCCCATCTACCGGTCTCTGCTCACCTGATCTGGTAAACCGGATCATCAAGCAAGAACCGGTTCTTGAGAACTGCAGCCAGGAACTTGTGCAACACCAGACAGACCTGACATGTACAACGACCCTGGATCTCACTGACGGTATCATCACCTTCACCAATAACCTCGGCACCGCGCCGGAGAGCAGCCCGGCCTATAGCATCCCCAGGAAGATGGGCTCCAACTTGGAAGACATCCTGATGGACAATGCCTCTTGGTGTCACTGACCCGCTGCTGTCATCAGTGTCCCCAGGAGCTTCTAAAACAAGTAACCGGAGGAGCAGTATGAGCGCAGAAGAAACAGAGCATGCGTGTTAGCGAGCCCGCCTTGCTCTGCCCCTGCACAAACTGCTTCCTCTCTTCAGTAGACTTCATCATTTCCCTGAAGAGGTTTTCTTGATAATTTTCCTTTAATATGAATTTTTCGTGCTTTATCAGTAGCCCAGGATATAGTTTATTTTTAGAATTTTGTGAGCCAGACTTGTATATTCTATTTTACAACTACAACGGCCTCCAAAGTATTGTACCATCAGTGTTCAGTATCTGTGAACTGATTTCTCGAAGTGTGAGCTTTCTGAGCAAGGGGACATTTGCTTCAGAGAAGTGTCTGTCCGTTTTCATTCAGGGGAAAACTAAGCTTGCTGTGAGCTTTGTCTGTCTGTGACCTCCTTGGAAATTAACCTGTAAAGTGTAATTACACAAATGTAAAGCAACCAAAAGAAGAGAACGAAGATGATGACGAGGAGAAAAGTGGAAAAGACATCCAAGCCTTTCCCACGTTTATGAATGCATTGATTCCCTGGTCCTGCCTTAAAGACACAGGGCCCTCCCAGCATCAGTTAGTCTTTGTACTGAAAACTACTTAAAAGAAGAATACATTACATAAAGACAAATATATCAGTCATTTTCATGAGGATTGTCTGGTTAGAAAATGTAACTTATGGTAAACCAAAACTGAAGGGAGTTATTAGACCAAGGCATGAAACATAGGATCTGACCTTTCTGGCTTTTATTGGGCACAGTTACAGTTTTTCTCATAATAAGTATGATTCAATTTTTCATAAGATGTGTTTTATTTTGAAGCAGAAATGAATGTCTTCTCTGGGTAAAATATCGAGGAGCACCGGAAGTTTGCTTCCTTTTTTTGTTTTTTGTTGTTTTTTTTTT